ATATATTTGATATTTCGAAACATATTTTATGTTTTACTGAGTTTAATTAAAAAAAAACAGAATGTTTATTTAAATAAATAACCTATATAACAACATAAATTAATTATTTTATATTGTATATATGCAAGACCTAAATATTTTGACTAGATGGTATTTACCTAATGTTCATTATTAATTTTGACTTCCAATTTACTGTAGTAAAAATAACTGTTTATAATGTCAAAATAAATAAACGAGATTGCTTAACTTGCTTTATTATACAGGGTGAGTGTTAAATAAGTGCAAACTTTTTAGGGGTAGTATACATCGACCCCAGAAACACGTCTATAAGTCTTTTTCTCGAAAAAAAAAATTGAAATTTTGTAATTTTTTTAGTTCTTAGTTAAAAAACATACTATCTTCATAATATGACAACATAGATGGTAGATCAAATTTACAAGAAAGAAAACTTAGAAATGATCCAGTGATTCTCAAAATTTAAGCAAAAAATCTATTTTTTCTTGAATTTTCAACGCAAAATAACTCGGTTATTTTGGGCTTATCTGAAAAACAGTAAAAAGAAAATATGTTGCTTTTATCAAGATCTACCAGCCATGAAATTATTTGTACTTATTTATGACCCCCCATATAAAGGGGCTTTTATATTAAACTCGAGAATAAATATTTTTTTTGGAAATAGATTTGTGTGAAAATGTTCTATCCTTTTTTAATAATTAGTGTTATTTCTGACAAGTTTTATATCATTTTTTTAATCTAGAGATTGACCTCGCCAATATTATCACCGAGTCTCATTTCCCAGGCGCCTTTGACGCCGTTTTTTTCTATTATACAATAGTATGAAATCTAGAAGGACAGACTGGAGTACTAAAAATAGATAGTAGATACTCTTTTTTGGGGATTGTACCCACCGTGTTTCAGAACTCACGAGCCGAGCCGCCTCTGGGTTTTGTGTGGATCAAAATGGAGGGCACTTTGTATTTTTTAAATTACGTTCGCATACAGTATGTCCCCGGATTGTCTTTACAATAGGAAAAACTTTTTTATTATTGACATTTTGGGAAAAATGCATTCTTCATAAAACTTTTTGCTTGTTCTGATATAGTCAATCCCGTTTATACTTTTCCATACCGTTTTAGAGAAAATTAAAAAAAACGTGAAAATATAAAGGGAAATTAAAACAACTTTCGTTGCACGTCATCAGTGACACCATGCGTCGTCTTATGGAGTTTGCTGGTGGTCGTATTATGATGTGCAACCAAAGTAATTTTAATTTCCCCATAGTTGAATTTTTCCTAGTTCCTAAGTCCTAGTCATTGCCTGGAAACTTATATGGTGAAATTTTGATAAAATAATTTAGTACTCACTAAAAACACGGTATGTCACTAGTGGTAGGAAAAATAATTTTTAGAGGTTACTAGTTTATTTGGTTGCCTGTGATATGCATATACAGGGTGTTTCCTAATTAATCTAAAAAATATAAAGTCGTTAGAAAACGAATTAAGGCGGGCTCTTAATAAGTATATTTATTTTTTTCTCGACAACCGTTTGATAAACAAGAAAAACTCAAAAGATCAATTTTATTGAAAAAGGATGGCCAGTCAAGAAAAATATATATTTTCTATAAAAAAGCAGCGGTGTACCATTTATGTTAAGCAAAAAAATTGATTTTCTTTTAATTTTTAACACCCTGTAGATCAGAAAGGAAGTACTTTAGACCCAATGGTTATATAAAAATTGTTTTAAGAACACATGAGAAATCACACCATAATTTTTTTAGACTAATTCGAAAACACCCTGTATATTATTGTCAAATTGACAATGACTGCTGATAAATCAAAAAATACCTTTTCAGTGAAAAAATCCTGATTTTCGCAGGAAAAATTTTGATTTTTATTGAATTTGGACCTGCGTTTGCAAATACTGGATTGTTTTTTAATTTTCTATCTGTCTAAATTTTAAATATCATAGTCAGAAATAGTTTTATTATTTATTAACTGTAAATATGGTGTTTTCTTGTGTTGCATCTTGTAAAGAAACTAACAAAACTGCAAAAATGTACGTGTTTCCAAAAGACGATAAGGTATGTATCTTAGATAAAAGAAAAATATATGGTATGTATTCGTTGTTTGATTTTTTTTCGTTCGCTTTAAAATCTATATTATATTCTTATGTTTTATTAAAGTTACTTTGATATACTAATATATCAGTGTAACTTTAAAAATAAATCCTTTGAATTCAAATATAAACATAAAAAACATTTACAGCAGAAAAGGCGAAGGCGCTGGGTTAAACGTAGTCTCCACTAAAAACACGGAGGGGCGCTTTGACCCAAAATTTTACTATTAAGTTTCATATCTATCTTAATAGTAGATTATTTTCTTTTATCTATGGTCCTAGTCCTAGAAATCAAAACGAGTTTCTATGGTAATATAATTTCGTTTTCATTCTTTGATAGATTGTTATTGATAGAATTCTAATTAACGTTATATTTTTTGCTGTTTTAAAATGTTAAAGAAGCACAAAATGTATTAAGTTCAATGCTACGGAAAAACTGATAATAGTTATCGGAAAATGTGATACTTTAACAATAGCAAAAATATGACGTTAATCAAAATTAAGAATTACCATCTATCATAAGAATGAAACCAAAATGCTATTATCATAGAAACGCCTTTTGATTTATAGGACTTTTAGACAAAAAGTCATTCGTATTTTCATGTTTTTTTTTAATTTTCTCTAAAACGGTAGGTACTAGTTTGACCAGCGGATCTGAAGCTACGGAAGGAATGCGAGAAAAAAAATCGACATTGCCACGTTTATCTATAAAATTGCCAGACATGAACTATAAATTTAATATATTTTTATTATATATAATGTGTTTAGCATATATTCTGACGTATATTACTAAGGGATTTTAACGTAGTTCATATTGCTCGATATGTTTTATTTAATAACTTATTTCTTTCATTCTGTATAATCTGCTTATTATGAAAGTTGAAGATTTTTCAACGATATGATTGGCAAACCGGCATCGCCGCGCATGGCCGCCTATTCATCGAACATGATTGGCGAGAGTACGTCACAGGATTTGTTACCACGCGGTTGCCATGGCTTTTACGGCTTTCCTATTCGCTTGCTTTATCCCCAACTTCAGGGTCTCTTCTGAAAAGAGTAGGAATATTGAATACTATTGAAATATCCAGTGGCGGTGTCATTTTTTTGATCATTATTACTTTATTTCATTATTTTATACCGGTTATGCTAAACTTTATTCCTATATTTTTCGTATATTTGATAGTTAAGTTGTGTTTTATTGTTTTGTTATCTTGTTATAATGTTTTTCGTTCGTAGTTTTTAATTATTAATATCAAGCTTGATCGTATATTTGTATTTTAAAATGAATAAATTTGTTAAGGGTAAGACGCTACATAGTCAGACAAGAGAAATAATAGCTAATTTATGTAGGTAAGTTAATAATAATGTGGATGAAATCTCATTTGGTTTATTTTCTTGTGTTCATAATAAGGTTTGCGATGAAGAAGCTACAGAGAGTTCGCTTAAGTTGCCGCTTAAACGTAAACTTGAGCGGATATTTTTTTATACCGGAGCGTATCGGCTATAAAAAAATCACACAGAAGATAAAAAAGGCTGAAAACTAACCCCGATAAAATGATATCCAGCTCTGGAAAGAAACGACCACGTGAGACTGCTGTCGAAAAGCTCGACGACTTTTTCGAAGTGATCAGGAATTTGATAAATAGATTTTATCTCGAATTCAAACTCGTCCCCGCAATTAGAAAGCTTTTGCAAAAATTGCAGGAAGAATCGAATTTTCCTTTTGCAGGGAAACGCTTAGGGGGTTATTAAAATCAAATTAATTTTTTTGGCGTAAATGTCAAAATACCAGATAAATATTAATGGAGCGGCCCATTATATTGCAGAGAGAGATATAAATATATACGCGAAATTCGAAAATATAGCCAAGTATTATCTATTTGGATGAAACATATGGGTAGACAATGACCTAACCTTTAAAAACTGCTGGCGGAGCGATACCATATCTCTGGTGTAATAGGCAATATTGGATCTACTGGTGAGTAAAATTATGTTTTGTTTGCGCTTCCAAAGTTAACTATTTTCAAGATTTTTTTTTGCGGGAAATAGTTATATCTTAAATTATGTTTTATAGAAAAAAATATAGTTAGTACAGATATATAAATAAATATACCTCAAGACTCAGTCTTGATCATCTGCTGATGGCAGACATGGTTAGCGAAACGTGCGTCCAGTGTAAAATTAAAAGTGTTTTGGTGTATTGTACTGATTTAGTGTTTTATTTTGCTGTGTAACACCAAAGGTTCCAACCCCCAGCTGTAATGTGATTTCTTCTATTATATTAACAACACAATAATAAGATGATTCAAAATATTTAAGGGAGCTTTAATAAAAGCTTTTAGTGTTTATCTGCTAACTAAACAGTAACGATTCAAACATCATAAAGTTTTTTGAAAAATATTATTAATCTGAGTATTATATTTATGATACACATTATTTTCATATAACACCGTACGCCCATGCCTATTTTATGAATGAAATTGGGCGTGTTTTGTTTACAACTGCGTTCCCCTGCCGATACCCCGTAGCTACAGATCCGTTGGTCACACTATATATGAAAATTTAGAGCAAGTATGTCAACAATAAAAAAAAAATCTCTTATAAAGACAATCCGGAGGGGACATATTTTCACATGTTCCACTATTTTGAGAATAAAATACTTTCTAACAAATTATTCATTATGAAATACATTGTGCTTATAGTTGTTCCTTCAGGATCATTTATAACAGCCAGGATATTGAAGTTTGATGTTTGCTACCATCGAACTTCAACAATCCAAATCGCGGTTGTTCAAGGCGTACCACCTGTGCGGCGCCCGCTGAAGATGCTGTACCACCACGGTACTACCATCATCGGTGGAGAGCCGTGAAAGATGATGCTACCGAGTTGATATAAAGTCGAAAATGCGACAATCGGCGAAATCAGTTGCAATTTTCGATTTCCTTGGGTTACTGTGCGTGTGTGTTCATTTTTCTATCGAACGTGAGAAGTCTTAATAAGGCGAGTGTATAGTAAGTACGTAGAAGGATACAAGAAAACAAGAAGTTTATAGAAATAAATGCATGTTTCGTGTGTTATAGTGCCCTATTGGATAATACACCCTGTATCGTCTTTTGATTAGTGTTATAGATATTTAGAGTTTATTATCTCAAAATACTATTATTAAAAATTTATTAACCATTTTTAAACTATTTCTTATCAATAAAATCACATATGACAAAAGTTGATTTGGATTAAACTACCTCGACGTGCCATGAAATTAAAGATTTATGAGAATTTATTTATTTATTATATTTATAATTTGTAGTTATTTAAAAAGTATTAGAGCTGTTTTCACATAATTTTTAATGTTTTTTGTTTTCTTTGTTCAGTTGTTTTCTAGTTACTTTGTCATTATTTTATTATAATATTTATTAGTATATTTTCGGCATTTATTACTTGTTTGGAGAATTGTGTTTTTGTCTTATAAATTTAATGATTTTTTCTATAATTGAAATATATTTTTGGAAATTTTAAACTTTTTTTAACTATTTAAAGTTAAAATTATATTATAATTTTTTGATTTCCTCAAATGTTCAATTAAGTTATTACACTTACAGTTATTGTTATTAGGTTTAGTTTATTGCGTACTATATTTTTATCTTTAGATTTATTATCTAGATTATTTGTTACATTTTCTAATTATTCTATTGTACAGGGTGACCCATTTTGGTGTGTTTTATGAGTTCTTTCGTTATGAGTAGAGATACAATAATGTGATTTTCACACCACAGCGTTACTTTTTTTTATGAAACTAAAGATACTACACAAATTTGTCTTAAACCTCTTAGTTCCTGAAACTGAAATACAGGCGAATTTAAAATTCTTGGATTTTCGACTCCCCCCGTATATTGGTTATCCTATAACTTATCGAAAAGGTGAAAACTGAGTTCTGTAGAGTTTTTCACATAGAATGTATACAGTGGCGTAACTAGTTTTTTTTTGCTGGGAGCTGTTATTTTCGAAATACTTATGAGTCAAACTTATGTTTTTTTTAAATGGGACACCCCGTACATTATTTTTTATTTTTACATATTTGTCTTGTTATAAGGTTTCTAAAAATATACAACTTATACCTATTTTTTATAAATAAGGTAAGAAATGCATTATTTTCCCTTTTTTAAGCATAAATCAATTTAGTTTTTTTTGCTTTCCAGGCAATTTTGCTTTCCAATGTGTTATCTTACTAAACTCCACTAAAAATGAAATAGTGCAGCTTTTAGATAACACCCTGTCAGTCAGAGTAATTGATATTTTTGATGGACTTGTGTAATAATTCTACACACAGAGAAACTAGTTTGGAATAGCCCATAACCAAAATTTGACGTCGAATAATTTTTTTGATTACTTATACAGGGCGAGTCTTAAATAAGTGCAAATATTTTCAGGGCTGGTAGATCTCGATAAAACAAAACATAATATTTTCTCTTTACCGTTTTTCGAATAAATCTAAAATAACTGATATACTTATTTTACTTTAAAAATTTGCAAAAAAATTATGCTAAAATTTTGAAAACCACTGGATCTTTTCTAAGATCCAGATTTTCTTTCTTGTAAATTTAATCTACTACTTATGTTGCCATATTATTAACAAATTATATTCTTTAACTAAAAACTAAAAAAATTCCCAAAAATTCCAAATTTAAAAAAAAAATATTCGCGAAAAAACCTCATAATCATGTTTCTGGGGTCTAAATATACTACCCCTAAAAATATTTGCATTTAAGACTCACCCTGTATAATAATGTTTTTTAACCGACCGACCGCCTTTATGTTAAAGAGTTAAATAATGCATTTTTACCTTGTTCACGAAAATAAGTATAGAGTATAGTTATATTTTTAGAAAGCTTATAACGAGGAAAATAAAATAAAAAGAAATAATATACAGAACTAGCATGTACCAGCGACTTAATTCGCGTCGAATTAATCATTTGTAATGGTGATGATAAAGCAAAGCAACGATTTCCATTAACATACAAACTGTATAAAATTTTCTCACATTTATCTCAGCATGAAAAAAAACAATATGGCGATATTATTATATAACTTGGTAATATTTGAGGGGTAGTTTCATCTCGTTGGAATTTGACTTTCGAAAAATCCGTTTGCCAAAAAACACTTTTTACGTCAAGCAGTTTAAGCAGAATCGTGGTTAAGAAGTTACCCAACTTTTTGGAACACCCTGTATGATTTTTTAAAAAATTTCAAAATATGTAAAAAAACAAATAAATTATGCTTGTCCAAGCGTTTTCCCAAAAGACTAACCGTTTTTTAAATAACAAATATTGTAATATTTGAGGGGCGTTTTCACCCTCTTGGAATTTGAGATTCGAGAAACCCCTCCTTATCGAACCTCTACACCCCAGAGTCAATCCGTTTGCCAAAAATCATCTTTAAACGTCAAGCAGAATCGTGATTACTCAATGGTTATATTTTATGAAACACCCTGTGTAAATATATAAAAAATCTTAAAATATGTAAAACAACAAAATAAAATATACGTGTTTAAGAGTTTTTCCGAAAAACTCACCGGTTTTTAAATAAAAAATATTTTAATATTTGAGGGATAGTTTCACCCCCTTAGAATGCGAGTTTCGAAAAATCCCTTCTTATCGAACCTCTACACCCTAAAGTCAATCCGTTTTCCAAAAATCAGCTTTTTACGTAAAGCGCTTTAAGGATCGTGATTAATCAATGACCAGATTTTGCCAAACACCCTGTATACATTTTTAAAAAATCTTAAAATATGTAAAAAACAAAATAAAATATACGTGTTTAAGCGTTTTTTCGGAAACTTGACCGTTTTTTAAGTAAAAAATATTGGAATATTTGAGGGGTGGTTTCACCCTCTTGGAACTGGAATTTCGAAAAATCCTTTCTTATCGAACCTCTACACCCTAGAATCAACCTGTATGTCAAAATTGAGCTTCTTACGTTGAGTGGTTTGAGCAGGATCGTGATTAATCAGTATATCAGTCACTTAAGGATTTTATATATTAGTATATAGATAACCCATTTAAAAAAAAACACAAGTTTTGGTAACACTTTAAGAATCACAGCTCGGCGAAAATCTAGTTACGCTACTGAAATCAACATAATTCTGTGTAGCATCTTTAGTTTTATAAAAAGTAGCACAGTAATGTAAAAACCGCATCTTATTCTATTTTCTCACATCTCTATTTTCTCAGATAAGAAAAACCCTGTAAAAGTGACGAAATTGGGACACCCTGTACTTGATCTTATGTAACACATAAACAAATTATATAAAAATGAAATATGTACCTCAGCTTATTTCCTGTAAGAGAAAATTAATGTTATTTGTGATGCATATAATATTTGTAATACATATATAACATTAATTTTACTCTGTTATTCTCGAGAAGCTATTCCTCCTTATTTCTAAATTGATTGATAATGCAATTTTGGTATTTTAAATTCTTCTCAAAACATCAACAATATAAATGAATACACGGTTGTTCACCACATACGACATGGAGTATTGTAGCTAAACGATTAGATTTTTACAAATTGTAATTTTTGGCATTCCGTTTAAATTAAACAAGTTATTGCCGTTTAAAGCTAGAAATTATTTAAAATAAATTTGTAGACACTCTGTATGAGGTAGTATTATTTTTATTATTGCAACTCAATAACTGATCAATAAATAAACTTCAGTAAATATTTAGTATTAAAAACTTTGATACCCTCAGAGAAATGAAGCCTTAAATTTTTTCTGTAATTTTACAAGATTCAAAATATTTCAAAAACGGAAACGTTTAAGTATAATAAATTTTAATCAAATTTACCTTTATTTTAATCGTGGAAACTAAAAATGCAATAATATACAAGGTGTTCCATTTAAAAAAATACAACTTTGATATTTTTTATTTATTTGGGATACTCTGTATCTTGTAAAAATATTTTTAAATTGTAGCTCTAATAGTCCTTCAACGAACCCAAAACTTACAATTTGTAAAAATCTAATCGTTTAGCTACAATATTCCGTGTCGTATGTGGTGAAGAACCCTGTATAAATACAAATCTGAAATCTGACGAAATACACGGTACAAAAATTATCATTTTGAAAATAAGCGTGTTGTTTGTTTGAAAAATCATCCGAATTCCTGAAAATAGGTTATTTCACAAACTGTGACATAACATCAGCAGGAAACTAAACAATAATTCGGCTGACTTAATTCGAATGTCACGACAGGACCAAAAAAATACTTTCCATTCCTATGCAAATGACGAAAATACCGAATTTCATAAATTATCTACATTTTGATTGTGTTAGATGTTCGGCTTATATAATGTATCAGGGTTAAATAGATTCCTTATTTGTTTGTGTTTATCATTTTTTTTTGTTATTTTAAAAACAATATTAAAAAAATATTACTTAATTCATTCAGAACGTCAAAATTAGTGGTAGTAATTTTCAGTTAAAAAAAGTTTACAAACTTTTTACTTTTGCCACTAATTATACTTCAAAATTATGAGTAAAGCTTTATTCAGAATCTAGTAATTAGTGGAATAAATTTGTGGTTTCAATTAGCGTAGAAGTTTATTCCTTGAATTTTAATCTAAGCATTCAGAACGTCAAAATTAGTGGTAGACATTTTCAATTAGTAACTTTTGACTTTTCCACTAATTATACTTCAAAATGTGCGAAGAAGTATTTATAGAGGGTGTCCCAGGCTGAGCCTCATTAGAAGTTTCTAGAGAACTACAATATCTAGATCCGAGATTTTCTGCACATCTCTGGTGCACATCATTGTTTCACAACGAGTTCTATCGATTAAAAATATTTTCAATATGGCGGCACTTTCGGAAGTACCGGAAGTTGACAGCAACTTTTTATTTCAAATGGGTGACCGCATTTTTTATTACATACATAAATTCTCTGTAAAATTTTATGAATTTTGATATTAAACACTCTAACATAACGTTAACCGTTTTTGAGAAAAAAAATATTTATAATTTTTGGAGGAAAAAAACTGCCTGTCAAAAATATGTATATAGCCTAAACGTCAAATCTAGTGATTGCCACAGCCACTCTGTACCATAAAGAGAAGACATGTGGCTATCTATGTCAAAAATTAAATTGTCCGAATGTCATATAATAATGGCCGCAGCTGTCATGGAATTGAGCGATTAAAAAATTATCATAAATCATTTTTTTTTCAAATGAAAACCCACTTTTTTTTCGTTTCACTCGTAAAAAGGCTTTCGTTACTTTCGTTTTTAAAATTTGCTAACGAGCCATATACTACCATGCACCGGCCATGCAGTATTAGATCGGGAAATCCCCGAGCGGAATGTTCGCATGTATTTAATGGCAACTTATGATGACAAAGTGATGAAAATAACGGTTTCACATATGAGCCGCGTTACTTTCGCTACCGTTCCAGGGAAATACCGCGACAAAATATCGCGATTTTGTAAATCCTCCAAGATCCGAGGGGCCCCTTCGCTGTCTCAGGCCCGTGGCCCCCGTTATACTAAAGACTTCACTGCTCATCATCGGTAAAGAAGCTAGAATACCAGTTATGCTGTGCATTGGTTGTAATTTAAAATGTTTATTCGATAAAAATAAATAATGAAACCATTGAAAATTAACTAAAAAGCTAAAATAAATAAATTCATTCTCAAAATATATAAAAAATAATAATTATTCGATATTTTAAACAAAGAAAATCATCCCTTTATTTAATTTCCTAAATAGAAAATGCCATTGACAATTACTGGGGCCTGATAATTGATAAGTAGTAATATAAGATTAAGTAAATATCTGCTTCCATTTATACTGTTTATATAGTCTGTGAAACGAATAACTTTGAATTTGACAGGTCCTGCGGACTTTTCTAGTGTTAATTTTATTAGGTTAGCAACTTGCGGCCATGCTGATGCAATGCCGTCTCTAATAGAACAGCCCCGGAGCGAGATTTATGACGTCACGCTAGTTAGATACTACGGATTAATTATGTTATACAAGGCATGGAAAACATAATTATTCCTCGTATATGTAATTTTTTGGATTATATTCGATACTATTTTTTTCATATGACACAACACTGATGAAGGCTATAAACGTTAGCTATAACGTTTTTTAAAACCAAAAAAAATAATGAAAAACCAAATGAAAACTTAATCAGCGTTTTTCCCGAACCTAAATCCCAAGAAAATAAAAAATTTTAGAATAATTTTACATATAAAATGACAGCGATCTTTATTTCATAGCCATCGCTGACGCCTTTTTTCTATGATATTGTATTATTTTCAAATATAATTTTTCGAAAATTGATGCTTGCAAAATATACATATACATTTTGTGAATGCAAATAATACATCACTATTAGTAGATATTGAATGGTTTTTTGTTAAATTAGATCGATTTTCAAACCCCAAAATTTAAAATATATTTTACATTTTATCCATTATCTTATGTACCTATTCATTATTTGTATATTGTAAAACATTTGATGCATTTGTATGGTTCATAGTTTATTTGTCAAAGTATTTATTACTATAAATAGGTATATATATTGTATTTATTAACTGTATATTATGCATATTTCATGTAAACTATATCATTTTTAAAATACAAACCAAAAATACGAGGAATAATTATGTTTTTCGTGTATTCTACAACATATTTATTAATCCGTGGTATCTAACTAGCGTGACGTCATAAATCTCGCTCCCAGGCTGTTCTATTAGAGACGGCATTGGTCTGGTAGTTAGAAATGTCACAGGCTGATGACATTTTACTTTTGTCAATTATGACATTTTGCGTTGATTTTTGCAAGAAGAGGAAGAACTGTCACCTGTTTTATTATTTTCCTTTTCTATTTCACGAAAGTAAAAAGAGTTACCTATCTGATTCGATCAGACACTCATTTTAAAGAATATCAGTAACTTTTTGGATAGAGGGCTTTTATATTTGCCATGTTGGTAAAAAATAACGGTCAAAATTCAAAGTTATTCATTTTATAGACTATAGTTGGCGTATACGTATGGTTTGCATACTCCACCTACAAACTGCTTCATAACTACTGAACACATATTGGCCTTGTTTGCCAGTTGATTAAAAAAAACTTACTAAGATTTGGAGGCCCCCTAATAGACGGGGCCCGGGGCTGACCGCCCCTTCCGCCACCCCCCACCCCTTAGACCACCACTGGCTTTCTAAAGATCTATGGATACAAATGACTACCGCAAGCTGTTGCTAGGATATTCTATTAATTTTAATTATGTTTTTTAAACATGGTGAATGATCGCAAACTAAAAATTATAAAGTGTAATTGAAACCACTATTGAATTCCACTCATTGCGAGATTCTGAATGAAACTTAATGCTTTCGGCCTTTGATTATAGCCCGGTAAGAGAAATTGTGGTTAGAAATGAAAAATCTATTGTTCTATTTTTTTTGTGAAAAATTGATCCATTTAATAAATTACAATTTTAGTTGTAATAGTGTATACTATACACTCTGTATAAACAAATGACGCAAAAAATATTTGTTTATTTTTTTAGATTTTTACTAAATTTATCTAAATACACAATTTCATCGTTTCATTAAAAGTTTGGAAGGAATTTTCTCAAGGAAAACTTCTTGATAATTTTATAGGAATTTTTAATTGATTCAGTAATCAAGGTGTATGTCATTTTGTTATTTCTACAATTTTATTATATATGCAAATATTTTTAAACGTTATTTTGTAACTAAATATTTTTAATATCAATTTTATTATATATCGTATACAAATTGTTCTTTTGAGGTGGAAAAAGAAACATATGAATTTCATGTTCAATAACGAATATAAATCAGAATTAAATTTTGTTTAAGATTGAAATATTTTACATTAATTAAAATTCTGTCGCCAAGATGTCAAGAAAATGTAACTTTTTGTAACTTCTAATTTGTCTATCATTTATAATTGATAGATATTATATTTTGTTTTAAGAGAAAACAATTTAAATTTTATTACTTAAAAAGTAACAACAATATTTTTACTTTTAAATAATAAAGTATAAATTAATAAAATATTAACCACCTTTATATTTTTACAGATTAATTCATAATGTCTCCACTTTTTATAGTGGGCATATCTTTGCTTGCTACCCAGATTTTAACAGTTCAGGTAAGAGAATTATTTTAATACTTTAATGTACTTGTAACAACTTTATGACTTTTCATTATCGTCTAATAACACCTTTACTACAGTTGGTCATCTTGTAGTCAGAGCATTAACTCGATTGTTTTTTTAAATGAATTTTCAATGGAGTTCAGAACCTCGTTAGAACCTTAGACTGGTTATGAATATGTTGTACTAGGACTATTTTTTCCTATACTAGAAAAAGCTATGATAAATACAGGGTGGCGCCTCTCCTACGCCGCAGAGGCTCCAAGGAGAACGACAGTTTGTATTGAAATGAAATTTTGTGAGCTTATGTAGGTTAACTCAAAGCTTTTTAAAAATATAGAGAGTTTAACAGGGTGTCCCCCAAAAAAGTTACATGTCAAAGTTGTGTTTTTTTGCAATGGAACATCCTATATATTAATTGGTTTTCGGATTCTGCGAGAAAAATAAAGATGTGTACTTTAAATCAAATTAAAACTTGATCTAAATAGCTATACAGGGTGAGACAAAATTAATATTGAATATTGGTGACCTTTAAAAGCATGTTACTCTCTTATTTTAAATGGAACACCCAGTAGATTATTCCGAAAATGTGAAATATGTCAAAATCCTTAGATTTTAGGTATATGCTTCTTTAATAAGATTAACCTTTATTTTTTTCCTAGATTCCGAAAATCAGTTAATATATAGAGTGTTCCATTAGAAAAAACCATAACTTTGATGTGTAACTTTTTTTTGGGGACACCCTGTATAATTCTATATATTTTTATAAAATGCTTTCAGTTAACTATGCTACATATATGCTGCCAAAATTTCATTTTGATATAAACTACCGTTCTCCTTGAAGCTTCCGCGGCGTATGAGAGGCGCCACCCTGTATAATTATTTTTAATTTTTAGACACACAGAAATGCCAGAGATGTGTCGCATATTGTTTCATCATATGGTCCGAATGACGTTAGATACTCTGATCTAGTAAATGATGATTACTTACCACCTGCACGTAAGTATTGTACCAATAAAGAAGAACTCAGACGATTCGTGTACTTGGCAAACATTTGTTATAGGCATACAGGGTTCAGCAAAAGTGCGTCGGGCACCTGTATCCTGTATCTCCTATAATAAACGACTTAGGAATTTTGTATTAGTTGTAACCTAAAGTATGTATTAGGATGTAATTCAGGAAAATATTTTTTTATAACTTCTACAGGGTGGCTCAAAAATGTGTGAATGGATCGAGTGATTTTTTTTAAATGGAATACACTGTATATATTATTAAATTTTTTGCTTCCTTTCTGATCACTTTATATAATCCTAAGATATGTTTTGATAGTTTCAGAAATATTAATAAATAAATAAAAAAATATTTTTTTAGCCTATTTTAAAAAAAATTATCAAAAATAAAAATGTCCTGAAATGAAAACTATACATTACATATTGTATGTTACATACTTAGGTTTGCACTCTATTTTAAATATTATTACTTATAAAATTTTAAGTTGTTTGTTATAGGAGTTACATGCTTGACGCACTGTCGCTGGGCCTTGTATACTTATAATAAATGTTAGCCAAGTACACAGATCTTCTGAGCCCGGCTTAAGAAATAAAACTGTTCAAAAAACAATCTTAGTAAATTTTACATAAGGTATTACACGTCTCAGATACAGTATATCTGTTTTTTTTAATATTTTCATTTTATGCTTTATATTCTCCGAATACTAAAGCTTTATTCACAACCTCCAAATTAGTGGAATAAATTAGTGGTTTCAATTAGCGTAGTAGTTTTTTCTCTAATATCAATGTAAGCATTCACAACGTCAAAATTAGTAGTAGTAATATTTACTTAGTGAAAAAAAGTTAACAAACTTTTAACTTTTCTACTAATTATACTTCAAACTTTGCGAGGAATGTCATTATCACCTATCAAGAGAAATAATTGTGGTTAGAAATCAAAACTTTATTGTTTTTATAAGCTTTATTAGGTTTTCTCTATGGATACAACTGACTACCCTAAGCTGTTGCTGGAAAATGCTTCATTTAGAAGCTTCATTTAGAACCTCGCAATTAGTGGAATAAATTAGTGGTTTCAATTACATTTTATACTATTTAGTTTACGATCATTCACAATGTTTAAAAAACGCAATCAAAGAATATACCAAGCTAGAAAAAGAATGGACTCTGCCATACTGAAAAATGGTCCTACAGAAGTGGCGCCATCTATTGAGTAGGGCTTGTTTTAAATGGATCGAAGCGCGGGCTTTTAATTAAATTTGATTATTAAATCTTATTTTTTACACAAATTCAACAATACTAATAACAAGTATCGTTGTGATGTGTAAAAAATAAGATTTAACAGTATAATTTATACAATTATTAAATAAAATTAAGGCCAAACATGTGTAAAAATTATTTATTATTTAAAGTTTTTATTTATAAGTCAAATATTTAAATATCATTTATTATAAGAAAACAAGATCAACGTAATACGCCCAAAGTTTTGTAAATGGAGTAAATATAAATAGGTACTTAAATGATGGCAAAAATAAAAGACTTACATTATATTTTTAGGGCCACAAACAAAAGGAATTGTCTAATTAAAACACATTGATAATCATTTAATAATATTATGATTGGCGCTATGACAACGACAATATTTTTTGAGAATTTGACAATAGTATGACAATGGCCGTTGGTAACTATGGAAACTACAAAAAAATTCTAATTTAACGCAATCTGGCAATAACTAGTAGCAACTTCTTAACCTAAAAATTAATTGCACTACCACCTAGCGCCTGAGGCTGGAACTATTTTATTTGAAATTTTCGTGGAAACGGTGGAACCGCTTTTGCTATTTCACTTTCCCACCCCTGAACGCAATTAACGTTAACAGAATATCCTAGCAACAGTTTGCGTTCAGTTGTATCCATGTTGTATCCTGGTTGTATCCATAGAGAAAGCCTAATATTTTGCTTATAAAACAATCAACTTTTAGTTTCTAACCACAATTTCTCGTGACAGAAAATAATCAAAGGCCAAAATAAAATTTCTCTAGCAAATTTTGAAGTATAATTAGTGGAGAAGTTAAAAGTTTGATAACTTTTTCTACTAATTGAAAATGTCTACCACTAGTTTTGACGTTCTGAATGCTTACATTGAAATTAAAGGAACAAACTTCTACGCTAATTGAAGCCACTAATTTATTCCACTAATTGCGAGGTTCTGAATGAAGCTTAATGGTTTGAACTGAAGGTAAATTATTAGAAATAAAAAGAGAAATCAGTCAATTAGGAGATACTAGTCTTAATCAAGTTTAACATAAATAAAAAAAGACAAAAGGGTTGTAGATCATAGTTTTATTTGGAGTTGTAAACTTATTGATATTGTTATATACAGGTTGTCCTATTGGTCAGCAGCTAACTCCTTCAGGAACTTGCGAAGTGATTTGTCCTATTGGTAAGTTATCGTCAAACTTCTTTTTTAACTTTATTTAAATACCGATTTTACAGGATACATTAAGACGCCTACGGGTCAGTGTCTACCACCTACGCCTCCTCCTACACAACCACCTACACAACCACCTACACAACCACCTACACAACCACCAACAGAACCATCAACAGAAGCACCAACACCGACAACTTGTCCACCAGGTAAACTGGGGAAGCAAACATAATTCAGTTGTTATTTACTTATACACATACCTACTTTTGTATACATACATTTATCTTTTCAGATAAAAGAACGAGATTTGGTATGTTAGTAAATGACATAAATTAGGATTGATTGAGATATTCAATTGTTTTCGGTCGCTTCCGGTTTCACCGGAAATGACTACAACTTTTGATTTTTAAATGCACCATCGGTATTTTTTTTACTTTTGTCGATAGAAAATGACACTCTGAATAGAATGAAAAGACATATCATATGTCAACTTTTGATATTTTCGCATATTTATGGTTTATTTGAAATTATAACATGCGGTTCATAACGACAATTTGACTTGAAATACCAAGTGTGTGGTATCAAATTATTCGTAAAAAAATGCTTTATCCAAATATGCTAACGAGTCACCCTCGTTCCATTTGAAAAAAAAAATGAAATTGAAAATTGAGATATGAGCAAAATACGATATGGGCATCTTTTAACCTGTCAGGGACAAGACACTAAAAACATTAGATGATCAAATCTATTTTTCCAAGGCTCCTTGATTAAAAATTAGTGTTTTTAACACAGCCATGGTACTCTAGATTGAAGTTTACAATACACTTTGTTTTTGAGTGGATATGTGAAAAGTTGACATATGATATGTCATTTGATACAGAAAGTCATTTTCTATCGAATAAAGTAAAAAAATACGGAGGGTGCCATTTAAAAATCAAAAGTTGTAGTCATTTCCGGTGAAACAGGAAGTGACCGAAAACAATTGTAAACGTCAATCAATCCTAATTTATGTGATATACTAACATAGCAAATCTGGTTTTTTATCTGAAAAAATAAAAAAGTTAGAGGTGTGAGCCACTTTTGAGGCGCACCCGGTATAGCTTTTCCAACGAGTCAGGGAAGATTTCACGGCAGACCACATTCAAACCAGAGAAGAACAATCGTAGAGAAGCGACAAAAACCGTCGGCACTATTGAAGTGAGGGGGACCAAGTTTTGTGACCTTCAAATTGGCGTACTTGAGAGATCGCCGGTTTATAGCTACACTGAGAGAAATTCAATGAAGGCGAAAAAAATGAGAAAAGCTATACACTGAAAAAACATGTGTTCAGTAAAAAGTATATTATTATAAATATTTAGGAATCATATTGAATAGTAACTATCTTTTAAGATTTAAGGGGTTTCAGCGGTTTGCGGATTTACCGCGTTCTAACGATTTTCTAACCTATTCCTTTTAGAAGGACATTTTCAAATCGTATCTGATAATATTGTTTGTTTCGAAATTAATATTTGAAAGTGCTTTTTTTAATCAAAATTATCATAAAACAAAAATTATCATAAAGACAATTTCGAGTATTTTTTTATCAGCTGTTATCACAAGAGTTAAAACAAACTAAAAAGTAAATTGAACATAATTATCTAATTGAGGGTTAGAACCGGGGTGTTACAAACTAATTTACCACAATACACCAAAATACTTTATTTCTGCAGTGCATCAACAGATGATTAAAAAACATAATATCTCTATAATATGAGAACATAGGTGGTAGATTAAATATACAAGAAAGAAAACCCAGAAAAGATTCAGTGGTCCTGAAAATGTAAGCAAATTTTATTTTTAATTTTCAAAGAATCTCGGTTATTCTGGACTTATTCGAAAAACGGTAAAGAGAAAATATGATGCTTCATTTATCGAGATCTACCGACCCTGAAAATATTTGCACTTATTTAAGACTCACCCTGTATATTAAAAAATCATATTTTACATAAAAAATCATGCCTATTACAGTACGTCTGCTGGATCTGTGTCTATGAAAGGAATGCGGACAAAAAACATTTAAATAAACAACAATATATTTTATTCGTCGACTTGACGAGTACGTCACCGCAAATCGCTCCGCCCACTCATTTTATTGGCTACTTGCAAATTTGTCGAATTTTTATTGATGAGACGCGTCGTCTAATTTTTTTACGAAAAATTCGAGAGAATATCGTTTCTCCTCTCACGGATACCCCGTAGCTATAGAACGGACAGACGTACTGTACATTTAAATATAACACAACTCAAATTAGCGTCGCTAATATTTTATATTTGCGATATAAAATAATTTAATTTTCTAATACATAGTTTTAATTTTCTAATTATTGTTTATTAAACGCCAACAACCTGCATCTATTTTAAGTTTTAATAATATTTAGTTCCGAAAATTACTTTTTTCTTTAAGTACTATTATAAGGTAAGGATAAAATATAGATTAATTAATTCAAAAAGATTAATTCTGTACACAAATAAAAAAATAGTAAGATTTCAGGACTTTATCATTAACAATGGCAACGTTGGCCGTATTCCGAAAACACGTTGAGATGACAGTTAGCCGGTTTACCTCCCACTCCAAATTTTTAGGCGGGATTCGTTTTGTCGCTTCTTTACGATTGTTCTTCTCTGTTCAAACCATAGAAAATAAAATTTACTTGTGAATTAAAATACAGACGCAGCTGTTCATGGATCTTCTGCACACATCCTCTTGTTGAAACGGCGATATATTAAATTTTTACTTACAGTACATCTGCTGGATCTGTGTCTATGAAAGGAATGCGGAAAAAAACATTTAAATAAACAACAATATATTTTATTCGTCGACTTGACGAGTACGTCACCACAAATCGCTCCGCCCACTCATTTTATTGGCTACTTGCAAATTTGTCGAATTTTTATTGATGAGATGCGTTGTCTAATTTTTTACGAAAAACATCGAGAGAATATCGTTTCCCCTCTCACGGATACCCTGTAGCTATTGAACGGACAGACGCAGACGTACTGTAATAATTATAGTTTCTACTATAGGCTTGATGCATTTTCCGCCGGTGCTGCAACTATCGGAGAATACTGTAAACAGTGGACTAAACAAATGCACTGGTTTAAATAGCGAATTCACGAAAAATTTGTTATATATTCTAAAAGTGTTCAAAATATTTTGATATCTTCAGAAAGTCTAACTTGTATTATAATTTATTACACAAGCTAATAAAACTTTTTAGTTCTTATGAACTACTTTCTCATACTTTTAGTTCAACTGAAATGCATCAAGCCTGTATAATCTCAACATATTGAAATAGTATATTTTGTGAACTAATTGATTAGTTATGAATATACAGTACGTCTGTCCGTTCTGTGGCTATGGGGTATCCGTGAGAGGGGAAACGATATTCTCTCGATGTTTTTCGTAAAAAATTAGACGACGCGTCCCATCAATAAGAATTCGACAAATTTGCAAGTAGCCAATAAAATGAGTGGGCGGAGCGATTTGCGGTGACGTACTCGTCAAGTCGGCGTATAAAATATATTGCTGTTTATTTAAATGTTTTTTGTCCGCATTCCTTTCGTAGACACAGATCCACCAGACGAACTGTATATATTCATTTTAGGAAGTGTAAAAGGGTATAACGGTGACTGTATACCTGAAGCTACTACGACTTCTGGACCTTATTGTGCTCAAGGACAACGTGAAGGACCGAATGGAGAATGCATTGATATCATAAGAACCACACCTCCTCCAACTACATGTCCTCCTGGTAAGAATTACAAATATATTTCTATTTATTCCCACAACAAATCAGAGTAGAAGTAAGAAATTCTGTGATTATTTATTTAAAAATGTTTATAGTCTTATTCAGTTAATTAATTTATTAAATGTAGACCCTTATATCAAAGATAATAACTATAATTTTCTTTGCTTGTACATTTCAGGTACAGTAAAACAATATGATGGTCAGTGTATACCCGAAATTACAACAACCACAGGTCCTTACTGTGCTCCAGGACAACGTGAAGGTCCTTATGGGGAATGCATCGATATCACAAGCACCACACCACCTCCAGTTACATGTCCTCCTGGTAAAAACTACAAAGTTACTTCTAGTGGAGCAGGAGAATTTTGCATCCTCCTCCTACTCATAATCTATAACGTTAGACAAAAAACATAAATAGAAATAAATAAAAACCGCTAATAAACAAGAAAAAAAACGGAATTAAACTGGAATAAATGGCTGAAACCAGAAAAAGCTGGCGCCGGGAGGCACATGTAGCCGCCCATACTAAAATATGTTAATAAAAAGTTGGTAGGCAGTTTTTTTATAGTTTCAAAGTAAAGGAATTTTTCCAATTTTTTTTATTTCAAAAACTGCGACTTTGACTGATGTTGATGCTATTACAAATTTTGTTGCAAATATTATTCTTAATCTTAAATTGAAAACCGCGTTTCGCTAGCTACTGTAATTTTGGAGTTACGATTTTTTAAAAATTTTAACCCCCTCCCATACCCCCTTACCAACACCCCACCCCCACCAAAAACTAATGGTCAGATTCTCGGGTGCCACAGTATTTTTGTGCCAAATTCGGTTAAAATCGGTTTAGTGGTTTTTGAGTTATCGTGTTACAGACGGACAGACGGACAGACAGACACCATGAAAATATTTTGTATTTAGGTCATTTATGACCCAAATAACTCATTTTGAGCGAAATTAAAAAAATCTTTTATTTTGCCGATCTTAATAGCCTACCATATACCTATTGGTATGGTCGGCTAAAAAACAGATAAAAATGAAAAAAGGTTTTCGCTTTTCAGCTGTTTTTTTTCTGGATTTAGAGATTTGTTCCATTTTATTCCTGTTTTTGCTTATTTATGTATTTTTAATATTTTTTCGTCTGACGTCACATATTGGGGGAAAGAGGAGGATATTGCAGAAATGGCCTTCTTCCTACATCTATTTATCTATTCAATAAATGATTGTAATACCTCACAATTCAGTGTATTCACTTAACATAGCAGAACATTTTTATTAGGTGTGTATTAATTACTAATTTTGTATGCATTTTAGGAACAACACAACAATACAACGGTCAGTGTATACCCGATGTTACTACTACAACTATTGCACCTTACTGTGCTCAAGGGCAACGCGAAGGACCTAATGGAGAATGTATTGATGTTACAACTACTACACTACCTCCCACTACATGTCCTCCAGGTAATAAATATATTTGTATTCACACCATGAATTAATTATTTATATAATCTTGATGCTTGCAGGATACTCTTCAACAATATATGGACAGTGTTTGCAGATTACAACGACTACTGAACTCACTACAACAGCACAACCAACAAGCTGCCCACCAGGTACTATAATATATATAATAATAATAGCGCCATAATAGGAGTAGCAAGGTACAGCTTGCCATGCTAGAGCCGTTCGGTATACAAGGAAGGTAATGTGGCTAGCACTACGCTTCAACCGCCTATTATTACTTCAGGATTGTGAATCCCAAGTACTCATTTAAGGCTGAGTCGACCTAGGTACCCAAACTATTTTTATTTTAATAAAAATAGTCGGCTGATGAAAGACCGGGTGTAGGATTCGAACCCACAACCTTGAGATTATTGGCCGAGAGCCTGTACCTCTACGCCACCGGGCAGCATTTTTCCGTTTCCTATACGGCTAGCGCAACCGATTGCGTTAATCGCATAGGAAACGGACTCGAAACCTGCAACTCCGTTTACTAAGTGGTTAACGCAACCAGTGCAAATGATATTATTATAATGAGTCATAATATTATTATAATGGAAAAAAAATTCTTGCAGTTTTTAGGTATATAATAAGATTATATAAGAGTTTCTTGCCTTGAACTGCTAATATAGAAATTCATTCCACGCTGCCAACCAGCTGTCACTACCGGTTTCGGGGCCCTACCCCATCATCAGGTGAGCTTGGGTATTTTCACAAAACGACGAGCACAGCGCAGAATATATAAATACGACTTGTCGTAAAGTAGCGGTAAGATATTAAGTCCCGCATCGCGAGATAGCGGCCTGCGTGCAATGGTAGTACTTTCGTACCACCGAGGCACAACTATCGATAGTAAATAAAGGCTTTTTTCGGCTAGCCCAAAATATATAATGGAAAATAAATTTCTTGCAGTTTTTAGATATAATAAAAAGCCTTTATGTGGCCTTTATGAATGGAATTATTATGATTTTCATTGTTGGAATAATATTTTTGTAACTTTATTTATTTGATTAATTGTCAAATTAAATTGTTTAAATCTAAATTCTTAGAGTTTTGTTATAGTGTAGTGGTTACAAGCAATATTCAGTGTCCCATTTTCTGTGTCCTAAGTGACTACAAATAGAGCATACCTAGAAAGTTCATTGCAAGCGTTTCTTTGCATGGGTTGCGATGACCAGTTAGTAAACGGAGTTGCAGGTTTCGAGTCCGTATAGGAAACGGAAAAATGCCACCGGGCACCCTACTATAATATGTATACCGTGCTGGCAACAGTTACTTTTGGGTCGGCATTTACATGTGTGGAAGTAAATCGCATAGGGATCTTATTAAGTCGGAGTGAGAGAAATGCGACCGACCGACACGACACGACGCGCGACGGTGTGCTGTTGCGGCGTTGCCGATACGCCTTTCCCTATCAAGTAAAGTAAAATCACGATCGCAAACCGCTTATTTTTAAAAGACTTATTTTTCAAGAGATAACTAGATGAAATCATTAGACTTGTTTCTGAACATCTGAAATGGAATTATAAGGATATCGTTAAGGTGTCATTTTTTTTATAACGAGAAAACGTCAGTAATCACGGTAATTTGGGGTTTGTATTTCGTTTAATGTTTTGTCAATAAAATATGGTGGATAGTGGATAGTCGTTTTTTATTAATGTATTTTTTATGTGGTTTATACCTCTGTTTAGTGAAATGTCGTCTGAACATAATAATAATTTTTGCCCTATCATATAAACGTTTTATAACACCTTTTTTACAGTTATATTGTGATTAGATGTGGAATTTAAGTATCTATCTGTGTTTGTGGGTTTTCTGTAAACATCTAAAATTAGTTTATTTTGAAAGTTTGACACAAAAAAAAATTATTATTGTAATTTCATGTTCGCTGGGTTAAAAAAATCACTAAGAAACCAATTCTGTTTTAGGATATTACAAAGGACCTGACGGTGAGTGCCTTCAGGAAGCTACCACTACCTCCAGACCATATTGTGCAAGTGGACAACGTGAAGGTCCTAATGGAATATGCATCGATATTATTACAACTCCAGCTCCATGCCCACCAGGTAAAATTATCGATTTCTTGTTTTGTCGATATAGTTATTTATCTCTCCAAAAATTCTATATGTATATTTCGCCGTTTCGTATTTTGCAGTGGCGAAATATCCATATAGGATTTTTTTTGAGAAATGAATCCGCCACATAGGTATAGACATTTTTTATAGTTATTTATGTATCAAGGGAATTATAAGGGTGTTAAGGGTGTTATAAAGGTGTTATATGTAAGAAAGAAAAGTTACATAGTACTGTGTAAAATCGTTATTTTTGGGGCTTACTCAACCGGGTCTCACAATGCAAATTCACCTCAAATATCCATTTAGTTGGTCATTGGCAAGCACTCTCTCATTGTACATGAAAATAACAAAACAAACATTTACTGATCTGGATAAAATTAATAGTTAAATAGTAAGACTCACCCGGGGGTACTCCGCCCCCTAGCCACTGATATATTCTATTCAATATATCCCATTCCATATTTTCCATCTAATTCAAATATCATTCGGATCTATTGGTTAATAATCTTCAACAACTAGCTAGTGTCACCTGAAATAGTATAGGGGCTTCCCCCAGACGCAACTCTGCCGCTAAACAGATTCGCATCCCAATCGAATAAGCTAATTGGGGTACCTCACTAGTCTCTCTACCCCAACGCCGCATCGTATCAATCGAGAAGACAAGGGATACCTCAAACTCTCAAAACCAACCTCGAAGGAAAGACATCACCAGAGGTTTTCTTCTTGTCAAACGACCCGTTGCCTTACAGTACTTGCAACGTTTATAGTCAAAAGACTCTCAACCCCCAAATATCAGCTCTATGACGAAACACAACACAACAGCCGGCTGGCCAGTCTACTACTGAACCGCCGCACAGTGCTTCGAACATATGGCTCTAGAAGACAAAAATGCCAAACTTCTCTTTTATTGTAGGCAATTTATTCAAACTACGTTTATTTGACACAAATGATGAGTACTCTCATTGTACTAAATGATGATGTTCTTAGTCCCACGTTTATGAAAATAAATCTTATAAATAATAAAAATGTTGGAGCTGTGTTCCATCTAAGGAAATAATAATTTATAGTATGAAAACGGTGTAAGTATTAAATAAATCCCTGTGTTAAAAAAGAATTGAAATAACATTAGAACATGATTCCTACAATATAAGCCTAATATAAGATAAAAATGTTTTTCTTTAATGAAAAAGAAACATTAATGTAATATTTAATTAAAAAAAACTTAAGATACTATAAATTTACTTTAGGACAACAAAATGCATAGATTGTAACTACTCTGATTCAGAAGAATCACTACTGACAGAATCTTCCAAATTTATAGTATCCAAATCACAGGTAGATGAAGTATCCTCACATACCTATAAGATATTTCTGTACGTCATTTTCTAATATGTTACTTTTTCGCGTTGTTACTGTTCTTTTTGTTGTATGAGGGATGTTCATAGTTACCTCTTTAATAGACCATATCCATATATTATTTTTTCCTTTTCTTGGGTATGAGGTTTTATAATAAATTGAAAGATGGAAACTTTTTTATGCGACGTTTCGCTCCAACATAGTGGGCTTTTTCAGGAACAAGTGGTGTCTCATTTGACTGGAAGGTTCATCAATATCTAATAAAGAACACATTTTTTGAAATACAAATAATTTTGAGTTCTTGTCCTTATGATCAAGCCAAGTATTAACCAATCGGCTTTGCTTATCAATTTACTCCATCTGAAAAGTATTATAAAATAAAGTTCGTCGCAAGCAGACGCAGGTGAACTATACAAAAATTAAAAGTGTATGAATATGACAACAAAAATATTCAATAAATACGATATGTTTTGATATGTTTTTTTTAAATGCCTTTTTGAAGTTTGAAAACGTAAAATTTTTATACCCATTTAAGAATCATCTTAAAAAATAAATAAAAACTAAACAATCACGAACTTGTTTAAAAATAAATTTAAAGTACATACCTTGTTTAATAATTTCCTTAGTGGGCTTTCAATTAAGTACGTACCATTTAACTCCATAATATACAGAACTACTATGAATGTTATTCTTTTCACTGATAAGATAATTATCGCAAAATTTATTTTTAGTGAAAATATTTGCTAACAAAAAACGCTGTTTATGAAAAATAATATACAGGATGGTTGAACATTGCTATAAGTATAAAATTACATATTCAGATATTAATCAATTTTAACTTTTTTTTCGATTTTTGTCCATGGGACGAAGCACTGTGCGCCGTAGGCAAGCTAAGCCTCCTCTTACATCACAATTTTACCGGATCGTAAATGTTTACATTACTTGCCAATGAATCATACTATTTTCTCTAATCGACTTTAAAATAGAGTGTTTTAGCATTACTAGATAAATAAATAGAGAGTTTCGGAATTATAAAACCATTATTATAACCAACTTATTTTCCAAGTTTTACAACTGTGTGTCTTCACCTTGGGGGTGAGTGCCACCCCTTCTCGGGGGTGAAAAATAAATCACCTATTTTAATTGCAAAAATCAATAAAGGAATGAATTCTAAACAAAAAATGTTCCATAACATTTTTCTCAGAAAATTAATATTTTCCTAGTTATTTAGGATTGAAAAGGTTGATTTTTCATCTAAAAACTGCATATCTTTCTGCCATTTTTTATAAATAACTCGAAAACCTTGCGTTTTATCGCAAAACTCATATAAAGCAAAGATGAATCTTTTGGAATAACGAATACACTATTTTTTGTTGATTACCGTAGGTGTAATAATAGCCGAGTTATTACTCTGTACAGGTGATTTTTTTATTTTTCGAACACTAAATTGCAACCTTTTACCGTAAAATAAAGGCGAAAGAACACATTTTTGGAAGAAAATGAATATGACCGTTTTTAAAGTGCTTGAAAAGACCTTTTAAATGCTTTTATAAAAAAGGTCGTATCTCAAAAACTCGCGGAATTATGATAAAAATAAAATGGTCACCTAATTTTTTCGAACAAAAAATAACAACAAAATCTCTGACTAAAATCATAATAATAAAAAATAAGCATAATACATGTGCAGTTGGCTATATTTAGGTACTTAGAATGTTCTTTGCAAGTTCGAGCGGTTTAGAATGCCGAAATTTGAAAAAAAGTTGAAAATAATGCAAAAAAAAAAATTAAAAAATTAATTTTTAAATTTTTTTATTTTTTTTGACATATCTCAAAAAGTAAGCAAGAGACGTAAAAAATGCAATAGAGTAAAATTGAAGGTCTTTATTTGCAATATTTTTGCTCTCTTTTAATTTTCGGTAGATATTTTTATTTCGTAGATATTACGTTCTTAACTAAGTGGATTCGTTATTCCAAAAGCTTCATTTTGCTTTATATGAGTTTTGCGATAAAAAACAAGGTTTTCGAGTTATTTATAAAAAATGACAGAAAAATATGCAGTTTTTCGATAAAAAATCAACATTTTCAATCCTAAATAATTCGGAAAAATTTATTTTTTTGAAAAAATGATATAGAACATTGTTTACTTAGAATTCATCCCTTTATTGATTTTTGCAATTGAAATGGGTGATGTATTTTTCACCCCCGGGAAGGGGTGGCACTCACCCCCAGGGTGAAAGCACACATCGCTACTATGTAACTTTTGTTTCTTACATATATCTGTATTCATTGTTAAAATTTCACGTCAATCGGTGCGGGTGTCAAGAATTCGGAGGTAATACCCCATTTTTATCCTCGCTTAACAGGCTTTGCTGCCAGGTTATTGTTGTATTAAATGACCTGTTTATAAATTGACGGTTATTGTCAATCGAGTTCAGTTTTTTGTCAAAAAAACGCATTTCGCAAGAATTCGGCACACGTCGAGTAATTTTCCATTAAAATGGAGGAAATATTAAAAAAGCTAAAGAAGCACGACAAGCGTAACTTCCAACTAAAAGCAAGTCCATTTACCAAAAAGAATATAAAAATATCTTCAGTGGTTGGGACAGAAAAATATTGTAGCAGATATCGATAAAATTGTTCTCTTGGAAATTTGTTGTGACATATGTGACATTAATGATGCAAATAAAATATTATACTAGTTACATGAGTGTTCTTTTTCATTTTATATAATTACGCAAAATCTTTATTGTATTTCATGGTTGTTACCTATAAAAGTAAGAGAGCATTATGGCATCTTAATTCCTGTTAATAATGTCTTAAAAGATTTATGACCAATGACATGATACTATTTATGGTTACCGCAACCAAGACGATAATATAAGCTTTTATATTAATTCAGTAAGAAATAAAATAACAGAATATATACTAAAGATATATGATCATTACAGGATACAACAGAGCTTTCTCTGGACAATGTATATCCAGAATCACGACAACCACACCAGCACCTTGTCCAGCAGGTAATTATGAAAATTGTTAAGCAAGCTACTGTTTTGTTGAAGTTTATTTTGAGGTAGCATACGAGTAGGTATACGTTTATTTTTTCAAGGCTAGATACAAAAATGCCCTAAAAATTCTATTTATTGTACTTCTTGTATTGTATTTTTTCTATTTATCAAAAATTGACATATGATATGTCATTCGATTCAGAGTGTCATTTTCTATCGAATAAAGTAAAAAAATACCGAGGGTGCCATTTAAAAATCAAAAGTTGTAGTCATTTCCGGTGAAACCGGAAGTGACTGAAGACAATTGAATACGTCAATCAATCCCAATTTATGTCATATACTAACATACCAAATCTCGTTGTTTTGCGGGACATATATTCATATGAAGTTCTTTTCTTAGAATTGGTCCAAGAATCACCTCCTTAAATATTAGTATGTCATTAAGGAACACCCTGTATAACGTAATAGTTTTTATAAAAAAAATAACAATGAATATGGAAATGAAAATACACACACAACAACAAAGAAGCTCTTCTTTGTAGAAGGCAACCTTTTGTAAATAGTTAGTTTCAAAAGTCAAATTTTGACTTACATTGTAGTTTATTTTCAGTTTGCTTGGATGTGGAGACAGTTAACCAAGAATAAACATTTCTTAAAACCAAATAAAATCTGTATCTAAATGTCTGGAACGCACTGTAGAATATAATTTCGGATATAAATAGATTTTAATATTTCTAGGATATCGTAGAGGCTACAACGGCCAATGTATACCATTAACTACAACAACCACTGCACCATATTGTCCAAGCGGAACACGTCCTGGTCCTAATGGATTCTGTATCGATGTTACAACCACACCAGTAACTTGCGCTCCAGGTAAAATAAAGCTTCTCGCTCACTTAGGCGGTGCGGCGCGGTGCGATACTTTTCTCCAGAGAAGTTTGGATGTATTTTAACGGGAGCCCGCTGCGCAACGCGAAGCGGCACGACACGGCGCGAATGGTTGCCGCCCGCGTCGTCTTCAGAGCAACCAAGCGGCGCGGTGTAGTGGCGAAATTCATATCGGAACACTTCGGAAAACTTCGGTAACTAAACAAACTAACTAAACAAACAACAAGCCTTTCTTCGCTGGTCACAGCCCGTCGAAATTTCTTATTTTGACGAGTAATGGAATTCTCCACTAAGTTTAAAAGTTCATAAAACTTTTCTTCAGACATCCTGATTCGAAGTATTTAAAAAACTTTTTTGGGTCACGCTTTAAATCATCAAATAAATGGTGAAATTCCCCAAGCCGATCTCTCTTTCTATTAATTTCGTGTATGTTCCCAGCAAGTCTTTTTTGACTTTTTCTCTTGCTCCTCTGCATGTAACAATGCAGAGAAAACGAAAAAATCTTCGTCGGTGGAACTACTACTTGACATTTTGCCGTTTCGCTACCTACTGAAAAGTCTCGCAAAGCACCGCGTCGCGCCGCCAGCGAGGAGATGCCATCCACAGCGTATACAGCACCAGCAGGCCAATTTTTCTGTTAACGTCAGTTTCAATTCTTTTTTTATACAAAGCCTTAGTAGAGCCTAGAATCCGACTTTGAAATACATAAGATAAGCAAATATCTGTTAAGAATCACAAATTTCAAGTTATAGACCATATTTATATTGGCTGGCCGGTACTGAATAGGCTGCGGTATAATGCCAATAAAATAAGTAAAATACTAATTTTATTACAGGATATGTAAAATCAGCTTTTGGCAGCTGTGTAAAAATAACAACTACTACTACTACTACTACTTTTACAACTCCAATTAATCCACCTTATTGTGGATCTGGAGAAAGGTTGGGTCCTAATGGTGAATGCATATCAGTTACCTGTGGTCCAGGTGATTTAATTATATGACTGATACATTTTCATAGGTTTTAACTTTTAATTTGTGTTTTAGGATATATTTCAGGAAATTTTGGACAATGCCTACCAGTGACGACTAAGACTACACCGCCGGCGCCGTCTTGTCCTCCAGGTACTACTTTAATATGTTTGCCTTTAATTTAATATATTTTCCCTGTTTTAATAAATATCTTGCTATTCAATTATTATTACATTAGTAAGAACAGAATAAAGTTTGTCCAACGAGGGGATTCATGATAGTGACAATTATGTGTGTTATTTTAATTGACAGGTAAATTGTATTTTTTATCATTTGTCATGTGTCGAAATCTTTCCTGACTCGTTGAACAGACTATAGTTTACAGTGACTGATTACTATCTGCCAATATTCTGATCAGTGGCGCATCTAGAGATTGGGTCTGGGAGGGGTTGTGGCAACCTTTAAATAAAGTATTAAATTTAAATTACATTTTCGCTAAAAGGTATTGTGACTGTTGAAAGAAATATACTTTGAATGGTTTGGATTTTCTATTTTGATTGGTATAATTAACTTTTATTTTTTTTAGTACATTATTAAAATAATCTAAATTGGGGAGTTTAGGAAGAAGGGCAATAAAGTAACAATATTACTTATAGAGTAGAGTATTCACAAATATCAGAAAACATGTTACACAAACTTGTAAACCTGTAAAACAGAGTAACAAATAGATATTCCAACATCTTATGATAAACATTAGCTATATACAATCTTTTTGTGATTTTAGGTTACAAACAAGGACCATATGGTCAATGCATTCAAATAACGACAACAACCACACCACCAGCAACTTATCTGCCACCTGTAACAACTCCTCCTCCTGTGTCATGTAAACCTGGGGAAATATTACTTCCTGGTGGTTATTGTAAACCTATAACATCACCAACAACCCTTCGAACAACACCTACCCTACCATCAACCTACTTACCGCCTGTAACTACTACCACTCCCCCTCCTCCTGTCACCTGTAGACCTGGAGAAATTTTACTCTCTAGCGGTATCTGTAAGTCGATTACTACTACTATACGTACAACTATTACAACTAGTACACCGCCAAAACCTCCAGTAACTTATCTGCCACCAGTAACAACAACTACTCCTCCTCCTGTAACTTGTAAACCTGGACAATTATTAACTCCTGACGGTATCTGTAAACCAATTACTACAGTTCCTACCACTACTGTTACCCCTTCAACACCCCCTGCGACTTATCTCCCTCCAGTGACTACAACTTCAACTCCACCTTCCAAACCACCTGTAACTTATCTTCCGCCAGTAACTGTAACCCATCCCCCACTTGTGACATGTAAACCAGGAGAAATATTGCTTCCTGTTGGTATCTGCAAGCCTGTTACCTCTCCACCTACTCCTAGCACAACTCCTACTACTCCAAAAAATACTTATTTACCTCCTCCACCAGAAAAGTCGACTCCTCGTGTTCCAAACACGTATTTACCACCATGCTCTAATCCATATAATTGTGAAATACCTGATGAATCAAGGACTGTAAGAGTTGTGGTGTCTGCATGTGCATCTGGATTGAATTGTGTGGATGACGACCACTGTACAGCAAGCGGGTATATTAGTTCAGAACCAGTGACACTCAGTAATGAGCAAGAACTATTGAGGGAACACACTACACAGGTAGGTTTATATTCTATGTAGATTTAAGAATTATTTTGAAAGTTTCTTTACTTTAAAAAAAAATTAAAAACATTGTTGAAACGCACCAAGCCTATAATAGGCCTCTACGAGTATATGCTATCGAAATCTGAATGATCTTGATTTGTTTTCTAGAGAGTATTCAAAATCTTTGTTGTATTTTAGCGATGTTGGATCAAGGAAAAACGCAGTCCAGGATTTTGTTGTCGACAAGTGATCAACGAAGAACCTTGGCCATCGGCTAATCTAATCAATGGCTTGGACGATGGACAGTACGCTGAAGATGATTCTATTGGTCAATATCACGGGGAAAGAAAATGAATACAGTGTTCAAAATAGATTTAAGATAATGTGATGATTTTATATATAAAAAACTACGATAAACTATACAGTGAGAGTCAAAAAACATCTCATAAAAACAGGGGTTGTTTAATTTTTTCAAATTGTAAAATATAAGTTGAATATACAGGGTGAATCAAATAGTTGGAACTAATACTAACTCTATTTCTTATTGAATACTCCTTATATTTTTGTAACATTTGCTATCACAGTTGGACACAATATATAAGAAAAACAGAACTAAACTTACTTGAAATTAATTGATGGTACTACCAAAAAAATTATATATTTCTATTTTATATTTATTGCTAAACTAACTCTAGATCTCTAGGTACAAACTATGCTAATATATGTATAGCTATATATTAAATATATTTCGAAATTACTGTAAGATACACAAATTATAAATAATAGGGGTAAAGCAAAGTTGGTACTAGGTCCTACCAAATGAAGCTCTTATATGTAGTATTCAACTTTATGGCGTCAAAAATGGTCAAATAAAAATAGGGTGTGCCTTAAATAAATACAAATATTTTTAGGGATGGTAGATTTCGATAAAAGAAATTTTCTGTATACCGTTTCTCATGATGTGTTTTGAATTATACCATCCCTAACCTAAATATTTGCACTTATTTAAGACCCTCTATATTATAGGGTAAGATTCTATTAATAAAGATAAATAAGTTTTAATACTTATACAGGGTGAGTCTTCAATACGTGAAAGTATTTTTAGGGCTGGTAGATCTCGATAAGACAAACATATTTTCTCTTCACCGTTTCTCAAATAAGTCCAAAATAACCGAGTTATTTTACTCTGAAAATTTAAAAAAAAAATTCTTTGCTTAAATTTTGAGAACAACTGGATTTTTTTCTGTATTATCAAGAAATTATAAATTTTTCAAAAAATTACAAATATTCTATTTTTTTTTCGAAAAAACCTCATGATCGTGTTTCGCAAATGATGATTTGCCCTGTATAATTATTTTTACTTCTTTTTGTTGCCGTTGTATATCTATGGTAAATTTTTGTATATGTACATTTAGGATAATATTACTCCATATTTATTAGTACAAATGTTTACAATATTTTTAATTTTGTATGATTAAATTTATAGGAAAATAAATAAAAAATTGTTGGACTTAGTACTTGTTATAATATGTTTATCTACATAATTCTTATTTCTGATGTTTAAGAAGTATCTGAAGCTGCTTTTGTAGGAAAACTATTTTTGTTATAAAGTAGTACACAGAATTATATTTATTCTTTCCATTTCAAAATAAAAATTTTCTAACAGCATAGTATTTTATCAAAATCGAAATAAAACAGTAATTCGCCACACACGCTCCCAGATTTTTGCACTGGATGCGCCGCGTTTCACTAACAATGTTAAATCAAATCAAACAACAAACAGACAAACAAACAAATACCTAACGCTTTATTGTGCAAAAAGCCAAACTAGCTTCATCGACAAAGCATTTACAAAACAAACAAAAGCACACAAAAATATACAATACAAATCATACAATTCAAAAAAAATTAAAGTCATTAAAATTACAAATAGAACATACATGGACAATTGCAGAACACAAAAAAAAGGCGTATCAATAAAATTTTACAATAGGAAGATTATAATAGTAAATAGATATAATTTTAAGAGTTATAAAATATTAAATACTTGACCTTTGACCAGTGTGTGAGATGACCAAAATTTTAAAATTCAAAATTTTGTTCATGATTAAACATCTACAAAAAAGTCATTTACCGCATATAGGGTAAGTCAACTCTCTCCAGTAAGTATGATTTAAGAGCTTTGTGAAATGCGGGAAAGAATGAAAGCGACTTGATATTCAAAGGTAGATGATTGTACATTTTTTTAGCATTGTACAGGGTGAGTCAACGATAGAGTAAAGTCCATTATCTCATTTATTTCAAGGTTTACAAAAAAATGTTTAATATAAAAGTTATAGGGATAGTTAAGATACACATTTTAAAATTATTATAAAGTATACAAGGTGCTTCAAAAAAGTGTGGCGGCTATAACATATGTTTTTTTAAATGCAACACCCTATTTTTTATTTCATTTTTAGATTCTGCGTAAAATTCCATAACTTTTTTATATATAATGTTATATACCTAAAATTAATAGTTTTTGTAAAATTTCAATTCATTTAAACAAATGTTAAATTGCAGTGTGGTAAAAAATTGTCAGTGGTGCCATTGTTTCTGAAGTTGCAGTACCAAAATTTGGTAGGAGAGTTTTATAGAGATGAAAAAAAAGATATATGTAAAGATATTTTAGTTAAATGATACAGGGTGTTCAAAATATATTTATGAATTTCAACTATTTAAAATTAAAAAATCTCAAATTTTTTAAATGGGACACCCTATATATTATCATTTTTTCTGGTAGATTTGACAACACTCTGCAACTTTTATTAAGTATGTTATATCCCTATTTTTGATAGTTTGCGATTTATTCCCATTTTTTCTATTTTTACCCATATTTTTAATACAATTACCCTATAAAATCATAGTTGCCATGACAAAACAAAACTATTTATTACTTACCTTTAACAAGTAGCTTCATAATTAGTTACAATTCCTGGTATTAGTTAAAATTAATTAACTTTACTCAAATAAACTAAATCGCACTAGTGAATTTCTTGGTGTATTTCTATATTATGAAAGATGACACTTGGGATTTTTCGTCGGGGCGAATAGCCATAGATTAGGGTAATACTAGATTACCTAATTGCTGAAGACTACTGATATATGAATTTTCTTCGACATACAGTAAAGTTTTTTCTCGTAGTAATTCTGGTTTATAATTCATTTGGTAAAGCCAATATTACTACTGCCGCGAAACCGTCTCATTACACACTGAAGATGTTTTCTAGATAATATACATACATCTATCCTTATAGTAGTTAGCAAAGTACTATATAATATATAGTACTGAACCAAAAAATGTGGTTTTCTAAGCTTGTGCGTGTATATCAATCACATTGACTAATTCATTTCAAGAAAATCTGTAACTCTTATCTCTACCATTTATACTTATTAGAACAAATTAAACTAAAATTCAAATTTTGTCCTTAACTTGCTTAACAGACATGAAATTGTGATAATTATTACTTTTTGTCATGGCAACTGTGATGTTATAGCGCAATTGTATTAAAAATATGGGTAAAAAAAGAAAAAAATGGAATAAATCGTAAACAAATAAAAATAGGTATATGACATTCTAAATAAAAGTTGAAGAGTTTGGTAAAATCAATCAGAAAAAATGATAATATATAGGGTGTACCATTTAAAAAAATTGAAATTCCTTAATTTTAAGTAGTTGAAATTCCTAAATATATTTTGAACACCCTGTAACATCTAACTAAAATATCTTTACATAGGTCTTTTTCTATATCTTTATAAAATACTGCTACCAAATTTTAGTTGTCCAACTTCAGAATCAATGCCAGCATTGACAATTTTTTAACCCACTGCAATCTAACATTTGTGTAAACAAATTTAAATATAACAAAAACTAATAATTTTAGGTATATAACATTATACATAAAAAAGTTATGGAATTTTACGCAGAATCTAAAAATAAAATAAAAATAGGGTGTTACGTTTAAAAAAACATATGTTATATTCGCCAAACTTTTTTGAAGCACCCTGTATACTGTATAATAATTTTAAAATGTGTATCTTTACCATCTCTATAACTTTTATATTTAATATTTTTTTGTAAACCTCGAAACAAATGAGATAATGGACTTTACTCTATCGTTGACTCACCCTGTACAGTATTGAACTTTGAACTAGTTCTGAGCTCGGGGTTGGCAGATAAAGATCATGCTTCGCATTCCTAAGTGGATAGTTATGAGATGGTCTTTCGGGAATAGCAGATATGTGCTTGCGGATTAAGCAAACGGATTCAAAAATGAATAAAGAGGAAGAGTCAGTATTTTGAAATTTTTAAAGAAATTCTGGTAGTGAGTTCTACTGTTCAGTCCCAATAAATATCGAACTGCTCTCGTTTGAAGTCTGAAAATACGATCAAATTTTGTTGCGCAGCAAGTACCCCAGAATGGAAGGGCATAACGAAGATGTGACTCAAAAAGGGCATAATAGGCTATTCTAGAGGTTGATAAGTTAAGTTCCTTAGAAAGTGCCCTTAGCGCAAAACAGGCAGCGCTTAGTTTCTTTGATAGAGCTTCGATGTGAAAGTCCCATTTTAACGAGTTGTCTACAACAAGTCCTAAGAATTTCACAGAGTCCACGATGTCAATAGTGGTGTTATTAAGTACAAAAGGTTGTATAGTATTTTTATATGACAAAACTTTAGTTTTTGATAGGTTGAGGCATAGGAGATTATAGGATCGCACCAAGATTTAATGGTGCGTAAGTCACTGGATATAGTACTATATAGTGCATAACATCTGGGCCGCTCCAAGTGAAACTAGTATAGTCTACAAAGAGGCAGATTTTACCGCTAATATCTAGTTTGCAATGTCGTTGATAAACATCAGAAACAAAATAAAGCCAAGTATTGAACAGCAGTACTTGGCCCTATTATTATATGATATCATTAGCAGAAAATTAATACTAAACTAATATCTACAAAATTTAACGTTTATATAGGGGCTCAGTTGGTACCGACCAAACGTAGCAAAACTAGCCAAACGGGCAAAAACCAACCGAGGGTAATAATTAATTACCGAGATTAGAGTAATGGAAACAGAGTTCTGGAAGGAATTGGACCATTATCTTTGTTCGTATTATCTTTGTATTTATTTATTTTTACGCCCTCATATGACATCTAATTGCCTGTAATTTGAGACTTGTTTGACTAATTTTAAATTATTAACATCTATACAATGATTTTTATCAACAATATGCTGTAGCATTTCATTAGTGACTACACAACTTCGTCCGCATTAAAGGCTTAATTTGGATTTAAATATTCTACAAAGTTAAATTATTTTTACAATTAAATTTTCCGTACATTTTTTCAAATTCTGGCCTACTCCGGACACCTTAAAAAGCCGGACATGTACGGGTAAATTCGGAAAATAGAAAAAACAGAAAGCTCAAGTAAGAATTTAGGAAGGAGATATTTATGTCCAAAGATTTTATTGAAAATAAAGTTACTACAAAAACAAATTTGTCAAACGCACGAAAATTAAATTTTTATAGTTTTTATATACAAGATTTATTAGAGTATCTTATCTAAGCCAATCTTTACACAAACACCTTACAACGAATAACTTTTATTGAACAATAAACAAAAATATATTAATATTCTATTTTTAAACATCACGATGTTTAAACCTCGAATTTTTGCGACTGTGAATTAATTACTATTTGAACACCATCAATACGTTTGTTCCAACACAGCAGAGAATTGTTCTTGGTACGATTTCGCTTATGTGCAGAACGATGGCTGTCTTTTATATTTTGCATATAAGGGTAGAGAAAATAGTAGATGATTTTTAAACACTATTGTTTTTAGTCAACAGACAGTAAGTTGTGGTACCTTCAGCAGGCCTTCTTGATTTTGATGATCTTGATTGATTGCCGGGTCCAGACCAAGACGACAAAAAGTAACACAATTTTGAGACAAAAACAAGACAAACTTGCGACAATAAATGGGGAATTCTGACAAGACAAGCTTGAGACAAATTGTCCACACTACAGTGACAAAAGTTCAACAAAGTCAAAGGTTGAGTTGTTGCGAATGAGTTTTATTAGCCATGTGTGATTTC